CGACAATCACAGAAGTGTTGAATGCTGAAAAATCTGTGTCTGATTGGAGAGATAGGAGACATGGGCTCCAAAGAGATCAGTATAATATCACCATGACAGTGTCACTTTAGGGCCTTGCTATGCCTGAACTCAGCTAGCGTTTATTTACCAGCAGAGGAGACTTTTTTACAGCACTTGCTCCCATACACAAACTTTTGTAGAAGGGGCATAATACCCATTTTTATTTTACAAGCAGTCTGTAAATTAACAGATGGTTAGTAACCCTGCCACTTTGCCTGCTAGTGCAGTCCCACTGGGCCCACATTGCTGTTGTCCCTGAACTGGTTTTGTGTTTTTGTTGGATCAGTCTACATTTCACCCTGGGTTCTTCTTGTTTTCATTCTCAGCACCTTCATCCCTGTACTAAGAATTACTATACTGGGAATGTAAACAAGGAGGGGGAAGTAGTGATGTCATCTTGTAGTTCTTAAGTCCAGCAGGGCTGACAACAACTCTCAGAATTTTAGTGCAGCAGAGACAATGCCGTCAGGTCATTATAGAAACTTAGAAGCTCACTGGATTTTTGTCAGGACCAACCAATTTTTGCTATTTTTTTTTTTTTTACTATATCTGCAGAATTTTCAAAGAAACAGAGCATGTACAGTCATAGATGTACTAAATATGTTTTTAATTTTGATAGACATACACTTCAAAATACTTCCAGAGTAAACCTTGATACATTGGAACTGTCCAAACACATAAGAAATTCCTTTCAGTATGGACTATGTGGATACAATATGCCCATCCATCAATACCTATTGCAGGTTATTCAACTTTGTTTGTGCCATGTCCTAAGGTCTTGGCTCAATGTCCTCCTACCCCCCCTCACCACTATTTTTCCTTACTAATACTTTTTCACACCTCCCTACCAGGGAGACTCTTTTTTACTCTTTCTTTTATCTCCATATTGCAAAAAACTCAGCTTTCAACTGGATTCAGCAGTGCATCCTGACTAGTATCTTGCTTGCCACCTGGACTTTTGCCAATCAACTACGGACCTCCTTTGTATCACTAGTTTATAATTTAAAGCCATTCACAGACTTGTGTTATTAATAAGATAGAACATGTCCAGAGACAACACTAATGAAAGAGGTATAGACTCCAGAGAGACAGATATCCTATTACCCCTGTACAAATCATTAGTATTATTATTATTATTACATCGAATTTATATAGCGCCAAAGGGTTTGCTCAGCGCTGTACAATAGAGGGGGGACAATACATGAAACAGCACAGCAACAACAAACAGCACACGGGTAATACCTCATCTGGAATATGCAGTTCAGTTTTGGGCACCAATTCACAAAAAGAACATTGGGGAACTGGAGAAAGTACAGAGAAGGGCAACCAAACTGATAAGAGGCATGGAGGAGCTCAGCTATGAGGAAAGATTAGAGGAACTGAATTTATTCTCTCTTGAGAAGAGGAGATTAAGGGGGGGAGGGTATATGAGATCAACATGTATAAATACATCAGTGGTTCATATAGTGAACTCAGTGTAGAGCTATTCACCCTGAGGTCATCACAGAGGACAAGGGGGCACTGTTTACGTCTGGAGGAAAAAAAATGTAATCTCCAAACACAGAAAGGTCAGCTCCGTGGATTGCTTTAAAAAAGGCCTGGATTATTTCCTAGATACACAGAATATAACTGGATACTAACATTTATAGGTAAATTTGATCCAGGGAATATCTGATTGCCTCTCAGGGGATCAGGAAGGAATTTGTTTCACTGCAGGAGCAAATTGGATCATGATTTGCTGTTTTTTTTTTTTGCCTTCCTCTGGATCAACAGTGGGGTATAGGATTATAACTTTTTTTTTTTTTAATGGTTGAACTGGATGGACTTTTATATTTTTTTCAATCAGACTATGTAACACTATTAGAGCATAATGGGTTTAACAAGCATCCCCCTATGCATGTCCACACCTTTCAGAGTATGTGTATGTTTCACTTTATTTCAGAGAATAGAGGTGTATGTACTGTACATATGATTTATACTCATAGAGAAACACCTTGACCTCCCAAAAACATAGTATGCTAGACATAGGTATCATTCATCATTCATTTTGATTCTTTTTTTCATTTGAGCACATGCACACATTGTGTGTTATTGTATCCCTGATGAAGCTGCTTGGGGTGCTGTGAAACATGTTTATTTTTATTTATGCACTTATTAAAATGCATTTTTTTGTTATGATTTTTTTTAAATTGGAGAGCTACTTTAACCTTATGACAAACTGAGATGGGGCTATACAGGTAAAGGATTAGAGATTATTATTATGGGGGCTACTCAGTCTGTTAGTCTGGTGGGATGCTGAGCCTTATAGACAACTTGGCCCGTGGGTACACACTGTTTTCATGGATGATTGTTTTAGGACAACATGAGAAAAACAAGGCTGGTGGTTTTTCTTTATCCCTCGTCAAATTAGAGTGGAAGCAAAGGCAAATCCTAACTAACTTTAAACTTCTAGGCTTGCTCTATCTAGCCCTGTAACAAAAAAATTGCTTTACTTACCTGTTCTGTAGCTGCTCTGGTCCGGTCCCACACTGAGCTGTCAGCGGCGGCTTCAGCATGTAGGTGTGTGCAGGAGGGGCAGCCAACACTGGAAGGCCCATAGTAACTCTATAGTTTGTCACTTCCCATGCATTTCCTAGCCGTTGTTGGTTGTCTCCAACACACAGAGGGTGCTGGTGGAGACCGAACTGTAGCAGCTGCAGAACAGGTAAGTATAGCGATTTTTCTCTTTACAGATAGATTAGGCTTAGAATGTGGCTGAGAGTAGGTTTACAGTTGATTAGGATTTGCTTTTACTTCCACTTGGGGGTGGAAAAACATTCCACAAAATGGGGGCATTTTCTCATCGAACAATTTAAGAGCCTGTCTATGACCCGAGAGATATGTAGTTTGTGGACATGAGTGATACCTGTGTTTAGCATACTGGATGCATCTCTATGAATATAAAGCATATGTACACCTCTTCTCTCTGAAATAAAGTGAAACATACACATACTCTGAAAGATGTGGACATGCATAGGGGAGTGCATGTCAAACCCATTATGCTCTAAGAGTGCTTTAGATGACCTGGATGCAGCGTTAAAATCCAAACAAAGAATCCTAAAAAATCTGATAAAACATATCAGGGGAGACTGCAGGAACTTTATATGTACAGTCTGGAGGAAAGAAGGGAAAGGGGAAACATGACTGAAATCTTTAAATACATCAAGAGGTGAATAAGGTTCAGGAGGGCAGAATTTTCAATATGAAGCCAAGATCAAGAACAGGGGGCATGACCTCAAACAAGCAGGAGGAAAGTTCAAAACTAACTTTTGTTGTGAGTCAGTCAACAGTAAGTGGATTCAAACATGCTTGGTACAAACATAGATCTATATCCATGAAGCACCCTCTAGTTTGCATGGTTAAGTAAATTTAGTTTAGTTTACAATGTAGCTAAAGTGAACATGACTGTGCGGTTCAAGCTCAGGTCAGGCTGGAAGGCTTTGAAGGTCAGGCCTCTGTCACTTCCCCCTGGTTCTACAAGTTTTCAGAAAACTTCTAGAAGCTAGTGGGTGGGGGTAGAGAGGCAGGGATCTACATATTCATGCAAGTTTGACCAATCGCCAAGCAGGAGGACTGGCATGGTGGTAAGACCTGCCCACAATATTGAAGAGCCTGGCCAGCAGAGGTTCACAGCTGGTTGAGAGGATGAAGTGCTGAGTTGAAGATTGTGAGGCCTGGAGCGGACCTTGGGGCTCTAGCTCCAGGCAGGAGCTGAGGAAAGGAGAAAAGAGCAGTTTGATCAGAGGTGTCTTAACCACCTTTCAGTCTCATCCAGAAGACACCCTGTATTGCAAGGGAAAGACTCATACAGCAGGAGGCCTAGACAACAGTCTTTACCAAGAAGCAGGATTTCAAGGGAGAGTATAAGTACCTCTACTTTCACCACCCAAAGCCTATAGAGGGGATGCAGCCAGGTGCAATAACCAGCTAGCCATCCAGAAGGGACTGCTACTGCCAAACTTCACCCCTGCTTGAGATAATCTTGTGCTAATGTGCCAGTGTGGAATCAGTATTAGAAGTGTTTTGCCAGTCTATTGAAAATAATTTCCCCTGGAAACACAGTCTGGAATTAGTCCTAAGAAGACAGCGTAGCCACAGTGGACTTTTTTCTAGTTCTTATAAACTTTGCATCCCCCCCCTTCCCAGGGCCTACAAGGGAGATTGCAGCCGAGTGAAATATTTAGCTAGCTTTCAGAGGAACAGCATACTGTTATCCTGCACCCTTGCTTGGGGAATTCCCAGTTGAAGCCAGGTGCACTGGCATTTTCTATTAAGGGGCCATACAGCTCCTGCATACAGTTGGGACAGTGCTGTTTTCTACAAAGGGGACATAGAGCTCCTAAAAGCAGAAAGGATATTCGCTACTGATCCATTAAGGACTGACATTATTCTGGAGGGAGTACAGTCTAGGATCCATTTTTGCTGCATGTTGTACATTGCGATGTTGTTCTCTAAGTCATTGTTGAATTCACTTTGGGCATCCCATAACCCCTAATCCATATCCAAGTCATATTCCCCCAATAAAACATAAAAACAAGCCCAAGGACTGGTTTTCTGACTACGTGTGGCTGCTGAATATGCGTGTTGCCTACCTGTGCAGACAAAGGGGGACCCAAAATCCAGCAGCTCCCTAGGGTGTAGTGCTACATTCATACAAAAAAGTTAGCAAAAAAATGTATATATTTAAAAAAAAAATAAGGCAGACTCGAATGACTTTTTTCTGCTCACTTTTCTGTTTCTGTTGCTATCTTATGGTCCAATGCAAACTCAGGTTATTGACTGCTACAGTTCTGGAAACTAATAGTGCATTGATACACTATATCACCAAAAGTATTGGGACACCCCTCAAATCATTGGATTCAGGTGTCCCAATCACCTCCATGGCCACAGGTGTATATAACATTAAGCACGTAGGCATGCAGGCTGCTTCTACAAACATTTATGAATGAATGGGTTTGCTCTCCTAAGCTCAGTGAATTCAAGTATGGTACCGTGATAGGTTGCCACCTGTGCAATAAGTCCATCAGTGAAATTTCCGTGCTACTAAATATTCCATGGTCAACTGTTAGTGGTATTATAACAAAGTGGAAGCAACTGGGAACAACGGAAACTCAGCCAGGAAGTGGTAAACCACGTAAAATGACAGAGCGGGGTCAGCACATGCTGAAGAGCAGTGCGCAGAAGTCACCAAATGTCTGCAGAGTCAATAGCTCTCCTAAGTTTGTGTGGCCTTCATATTAGCACAACAGTGCATAGAGAGCTTCATGGAGTGGGTTTCCATGGCCAACAGCTTATCCAAGCCTTACATCACAAGGGCAATGCAAAACTTCGGATGCAGTGGTGGACTCTAGAGCAGTGTAAACGTACTATCTGGAGTGACCAATCACGCTTCTCTGTCTGGCAATCCGATGGACATGTCTGGGTTTGGTGGTTGCCAGGAGACTAGAAACTGCCTGACTGCATTGTGCCAAGTGTAAAGTTTGGTGGAGGGGGATTATGGTGTGGGGTTGTTTTTCAGGGGTTAGGCTTGCCCCTTAGTTTCAGTGAAGGGAACTCTTAGGGTGTCAGCATACCAAGGCATTTTGGACAATTTCAAGCTCCTAACTTTGTAGGAACAGTTTGGGTATGGCTCTTTCCTGTTCCAACATGACTGAGCACCAGTGCACAAAGCAAAGTCCTGACCTTGACCCGATAGAATGCCTTTGGAATGAATTAGAGCGGAGACTGCAAGCCAGGCCTTTTCATCCGACATCAGTGCCTGACCTCACAAATGCGCTTCTGGAAGAATGGTCAAACATTCCCATAGACACACTCCTAAACCTTGTGAACAGCCTTCCCAGAAGAGTTGAAGCTGTTATAGCTGCAAAGGGTGGGCCAACTCAATATAAAACCTATGGACTAAGACTGGGATGCCATTAAAGTTCATGTGCATGTAAAGGCAGGCGTCCCAATACTTTTGGCAATATAGTGTATATCCACATAATTTTGTATGTTATAACTTGTATTTTTAATTGCTTCAATAAAAAATTCTTTGAAATTGAAATATTGGTACTGTTCTTGGATATCAAGCCTTAGATACGTTGTGATTTTGGAGAGCCCTTTAATATTGGTCAGTGTTCTGTTAAGAGTGGAAAACCCTTTAAAAATATATATTACTCTAAAACCTGATAGTAATTCAGCTAATACAATTTCTTACTCCAGTTTAAAGGGAATAAAATCTTTAACTGGCAAGAGCTCTGCTAAACTCATTAAAAGACTGCAAACACAACAGGTTTTTCTGATTGCTGAGAGCGATAACGGTGAACAGAATAGAGAAAAATGATCAGCAAAGGAACAGTTGTTCCACGTTTTAGCGGCGCTGTTCTGTAGATTAAGTCTATCCACGTACTTGAGTTTGTCAATGCTGAGAGCAAAAATATGCTAGAGCTACCCAAATTTGACAGAACATTAATATTTTCTGCCTGCAGGGCTGGTTATAAATTATACATAAATCTGAATATGAGACAGATATACAAAGAGGACCTGGAGCTGGAGAGGAAAACTATTGCAGTACACTTATTACCCTCCAGCAGACCTACAGATAGTAATTTCTTTTACATCTACTGAACACAGGCTGACACTGTATGAGGCCAAATACCAATCACAGGAAAAGGTACAGATTTAAAAGAATGTATCATCTGACAGAGCAATGCAAACAACATTTAGATTTAGATTTCTGCATTGTGACAACACGTGTTAACAAAACGCAACGTCTGCTACATGCTTTTGTGTATTGCAGTGCCAATCATTTTGATTATCTCCCCAATACATAAAGGCAACATGCACGCATTACAACATGCCACAAAATATGGTGACGCACAATAATCTGCTGCAACCACAAAATTTGAGACATGTCTGATAATTGGGACATTTTTGATTATTGATTTCAATGGGCTACCTTGATGCAATACACATTAACATATGACATTCCATGAATGAATGCACTGCATAAATTTAAATGTGCCCTTAACGCAAATCATACTGAGCAATGAGCATATAATGATTTACAGAAATCTCTACAGAAATCAAATTTTTCATAATTCAAATACAAGTACTCCTTTTTGTTTTCTGATTTGGACAATGCATCCAAATGGCTCCCATTGTTAGACTACTTCCATACTGCTCCATTCCAAAAATGCGGTAAAAATGCATATGTATGTTTGCCATGTTTTCATCATGTTTTTGTCTCATTTCTGGTGAATTTTACACCTGTGGAAACAGGGCATGACTCAAAAAACAGCACCAAAAACGCAACTGCGGGTGCATTTTGGATGCATTTTAGACACTTTTTTAATGCATTTTCCATTCATTATAATGAGGGGGGGGGGGGGTGTGTTTTGCTGAAGTTCTTTTTAGCACCTTAAACATGCACCAAAAATTAAGCTTGCAGGACTTTGAAAAGTGCAATGGACCTACAAATGACCAGTGTGAAGAGTTCCATAGAATTTAAGGGTCATGGGTTTTTCTTCCGCTTTTATAATGCAAAAATGGAAGAAAAACTGATCAGTGTGAAAGCATCCTTATTGATGCAGGAATAGACTCTGCTGTGGGACAAAGAAGGAAATCTCCTGGAAATGAGGGCTGTATGAAGGGACAGCAGAGAAGTATTTGAGAGGCCCAGAAAATGAAGTGAGGAGATATATTCCCAACATGATCACAGAGGGCAATAAAAACTCTAATCTTTTCTTCTCTATCCAATATGAAATAAAAAGTTTAAGCTGGAGTTGGACGTTAGGTATTGTTGTTTATATAAAAATCTGTGGAACCCCTTTTGGGATAAAATCTTTCAGTTGTACCATAAATTAGTGGGCAACAGGTTTCCTAATACGTCTGCTGTCACAATACTGTTCATGTTACCTGGCACTTATAAACAGAAGGAGCTTCCTATTTTCTGACTGTGGTCTATCATGTCCAGAAATTGGCTCAAACCAGGTACCCCTTTCCAATTGGTTTGGCTTGTGAGATGGGCCCCCTTTGTTACCTAGAACAAGTAGTCCATGGGTGCTCAACCTGTGGACCTCTAGCTGTTGCGGAACTACCAGTCCCATCATGCTCCTGCCTTTGCTTGCAATGCTTTATGGGACTTGTCGTTCTGCAACAGCTGGAGGGCCACAGGTTGAGCACCCATGAAATAGTGTCTCTTGGGAAACTGACAAATCAGAAACCTATAAGAGTACATAGACCTTTTGGTCACATTTTAGACACTCTTCAGAATTTGCTACATATTTTGATTAACGCACACCCTGTCACAGCAACGTGCACTGGTTCTAGTTTATACCACTGGCTTAGAACATTCAAAGAAACACTGAGGGCTTCCTTTTCCTTCCTTCCTTCCCTCTCTTTGCCCTCTTCCTCTCCTATTTTTCCTCTCACTTTCTTTCATTCTATTTCTTTCCTGTACTTTGAGTTTCTGACTCATCTCCCCATTGTTACTATCACTCATGATGTTACTCAGAACCCTATGTACCCAGAGTATAGTAATGAGCTTCTTACTGAGTGGCTATTTATTCCAGTATCACAGATGTTTACCTTTTTCTTTATATTGTACAGGCTTCCATATTGGAAGTTCCATCACAACATCCTCCCTGTTGGCCCTGATGTCTTAGGCTCTTGTGGATGCTGATCTATACGTTCAAGTTTATATTTTTTTTTTGTTAGTCCCCTCTTATTGTATCTTGTGATATCCTCTCCTGTCTTGAATGGACAGAACGTGTCCCCTGTCACCGAAAATTTTATTTTCTATTGGATATATTCTATTCTGTTGGTAATTCTTTCTGATGCAAACAGAAAAGACAACAAAAATAGATAAAAAAAATAAAAATGTGAGGAAGTTGAGAATTATAATGTATTACGTATATGGGTGGGCCAAAACATCATAAACCCTATAAATGGTCTAAAAGTGATACTAAACAATATTTTTATACTCCAAAAATACTCCATACACATCTGCTACTTAATGACCCTAGTATCTATTTTTTTAGAAAATGGTTTCACTGGAATACTATGTTATTATTATTATTATTATACATACAGTATTTATATAGCGCTAAAAGGTTTGCTCAGCGCTGTACATTATAGTGGGGGACAGTACATGAGACAATACAGTAACAAAACAGAACACGAGGGATTCAAGGGCCCTGCTCTTTCGAGCTTACAATCTAGCAGGGAGGGGATAGTGGTACAGGAAGAAGTGGCTGTGGGGGATGGAGTGGTGGGAGGAGAGGAGGAGATCCGCTGTTAGGTGAGGGCAGGGTAGGCTTCCCTGAAGAGATGGGTTTTCAGGGTGCGCCTAAAGGTGAGGAGGGTAGGTGACAGTCTGATGGATTAGGGTAGTGAGTTCCAGAGGATGGGGGAAGTCCTGGAGAAGTCCTGCAGTCGGGCATGGGAGGTGGAGACCAGGGAGCTAGAAAGTAGGAGGTCTTGTGAGGAGCGAAGATTATGGGTAGGGTGGTATTTGGGTATCAGGTCGGTGAGGTAGTTTTGGGCAGCATTATGAATGGCTTTGTACGTCAATGTTAGTAGTTTGAATTTAATGCGTTGGGCAATCGGGAGCCAGTGGAGGGAATGACAGAGGGGGGTGGCAGAAGCGGAGTGGTTGGTGAGGTGGATGAGTCTGGCCACTGAGTTCAGGATAGACTGAAGAGGGTATAGTCTGCGATGAGGTAGGCTGGTGAGAAGGGAGGTGCAGTAGTCCAGACATGAGATAATAAGGGAGTGAACGAGTAGTTTAGTACTGTCTGGGGTTAGGAACGAACATATTTTGGAGATGTTGCGGAGGTGGAGCCTGCATGAGTTTGCCAACTATTGGACATGGGGTTGGAAGGACAGGTTTGAGTCTAGAGTGAGACCTAGGACTTTGGCTTGTGGGGTGGGACTGATGGTGGCGTTGTTGGTCGTGATGGAGAGGGTGGGGGGGGGGGGGGTGCATGGGCTGAGGGGAAAATCAGGAGCTCGGTTTTGGAAAGGTTCAGTTTGAGGAAATGGAGTGACATCCAGTCTGATATGTCGTTCAGTAGGTGGGTGATACGGGCGGAGACTGAAGGGGTGAGTTGAGGGGTGGAGAGGTAAATTTGTGTGTCATCGGCATAGAGGTGATAGTTGAAGCCGTGGGAGTGTATCAGTTTGCCGAGGGAGGAGGTGTAGATGGAGAAGAGAAAGGGCCCGAGGACAAAGCCTTGGGGGACCCCAACAGAGAGGGGAGAGAGAGGGGGGGGTGGTAGCGTTATAGGCAACGCTGAAGGAGCGTTGGGATAGATAGGAGGAGAGCCATGTTCATGTATTTTGTGCGACAACTACATCAGTATTCAGTAGAGATATATTCTTCAACCAGTAGATGGCAGTGTTTTGTAGCTGACTCTATGGTATACTCTTATTTCTCTGAATAAAGTTTCCTGTTTCCTTGTTGCAGTGAAGCAGAAAAACACACGTGGAGTGTGCATTGTC